TTGGCTCAGTGGATAGAGCGTCAGCCTGCGGACTGAAAGGTCCCAGGTTCGATTCCAGTCAAGGGCATCTTGGTTGCGGGCACATCCCCAGTGGGGAGTGTGCAGGAGGCAGCTGATCGATGTTTCTAACTCTCTATCTCTCTCCATTCCTCTCTGTAAAAACTCAATAAAATATATTTTAAAAAAAAGGTCAAAATTGATCTTTGTCAGGGAAGGTACTGGCCTAGGACAGTGATGGCGAACCTATGACACGCATGTCAGAGGTGACACACGAACTCATTTTTTTGGTTGATTTTTCTTTGTTAAATGGCATTTAAATATATAAAATAAATATCAAAAATATAAGTCTTTGTTTTACTATGGTTGCAAATACCAAAAAATTTCTATGTGACATGGCACCAGAGTTAAGTTAGGGTTTTTCAAAATGCTGACACGCCGAGCTCAAAAGGTTCGCCATCACTGGCCTAGGACATGACTACCCACTATAAACTGCTTTTTAATTAAACGTTTTAATTTCAGACCATCCTTTGTGGTTGTTTTTAGGTCTTGAGTTTGCAAGACCACCATGCAGGCCTCTCCTGAGCTTGTCAGGTAGGCATGTGTCCTCTTTTCATCCAAAGAACAAAAATGGAAATTATATGGAACATGTGCTTCCCCTGCCTCTGTCAGATGAGGAAGACATTGATAAACAAGCATGGTAGTGTTGAGAAGGCAAGCTGAGAGCAGATAACCCTCCCCTTACTTGCTCCACCATAACCACGCCCTTGGATTCTGTAATCTCACTTGCTTCTTGCATCAGCCAACTGCTCTGGCTGCCACATGTTTGGAAAGATTCCTAAATACCCAGAAGCTTATCTAATCTATATATATAAAAGCCTAAGCGACCAGCAGACTGGCTGACCGGCTGGTAGCTATGATGTGCAATGATCACCAGACAACAGATGCTCAGTGGACAGGCATAGAAACATGGAACAGACTGATGAAGTTCAGAGAGAAGACGGGAGGAAGGAGAATGGGAAGATATTAACTAAAGATCTTATATGCATACTAGAGGCCTGGTGTACAGATTTGTGCACCAGTGGGGTCCCTTGGCCTGGCCTGTGGGCATCGGGCCAAAACCGGCTCTCCAACATCCCCCAAGGAGTCCTGGATTTCGAGAGGGCATGGGCCAGGCCAAGGGACCCCACCGGTGCACAAATCTGTGCACCGGGCCTCTAGTCATGCATAAAAGAAGGTCAGAACCTGGACATGGTGCTCAGCCTCTGGAGGTGACTCCACTGAGCCAGCACCAGTGCAGAATAAACAGTTGTTTTCTGAACCTCCAAGTGCATAAGGTTTGTCGCTTCCCACCAACCTGATTTCTGCCATCAATGTGACCAGACAACCAATGGGTCCAGGCTGCCGGCACTACTTCAGCTAATTAAGCAGAGAGGGTTGAATCATATATGAGCATTTATTCCAATACTGCCAGCATTATGGGAGAGCTGCAACTCATCCACAAAAATCTGCTCTGCCCTCTGCTATGAACCAGCTATTCATATTGGGTAGAAGGAGGAAGATTACATGGGGAAATAGGCAAAAGGGATAAGAATGGGTATGCAGAATAGGCAGTTTACAGGTAATGCTGGCTGGGGGTTTGCAAAGACCTAGGGCAGTGGTTCTCAACCTTCCTAATGCTGCGACCCTTTAATACAGTTCCTCATGTTGTGGTGACCCCCAACCATATAACTATTTTCATTGCTACTTCAAAACTGTAATTTTGCTACTGTAAACAATAGGTAATTATATATGTGTTTTCCGATGGTCTTAGGTAACCCCTGTGAAAGGGTCGTTCGACCCCCAAAGGGGTCGAGACCCACAGGTTGAGAACCACTGACCTAAGGGTATGCAAAGGGCTGGGGTTTTTCAAAGAGCTGGTGCTTCTGCTTCCTGCAACAAGGTTGTTAATCTTCCCATGATAATAGGCAGCTCCTGGATGTAGAGAATGGGCCTCATTTCCAGGTGAACTCCCAGGTTTCACCCAGGTCCCACGTGCAACTCCCAGCCAGGTTAGAATGTGCTTTCTTTATTCAGAACAAAACACAGTTAACAGAGCATGATTAATATTTCTTATAATTATAGCTGGTCCTCAATATTCTATCTCTGTCCCTAATAGTAGCCTTCCCTACAGGGTTCAGGACTGCGCCCACAATCCTCAATCTGACATTTCAGGCAAATCAATCAATTAAAATTGGCAAGAGATGAAATTCCCTTGCTATCACCGATATAGGAAAACCTCCTTTAAGCTTATTATATGCAGAAACCTCTCTTAATTAGTAAAATGTCCGAAATACCAAAAATTATCCAAAAAAATAGCTGCTAAGTATACATGTCTGAAATTCAAATTGTCTTATGTGAATCAAGAGGTAGCCCATAATCAAGAAGAATTTGTAATTAAATCAGAGCACTGGCCAAATAGGCTTTCAATGTAACCCTAGAAGCACCTGGTGCTACTTCTCAGAAAACTGAGGTCTCTGGACACCCAAAGTCCTGGTCTGCTTTTTAGTGGGCGTTGGGATGTTTAGCATTTCAAATGCAATTCCGAGTCAACCAATCAAAGGAGCTGTAAAAAATAATCTGATCAGAAAGGCAGGGGGATTAAATTCCTCTCCTTTTTTCTAAGAACCTTTTTTGTTTATTCATTCACGTAGCAAATACTTACTGGGTGCCAACTCTGCCGGCCAGTGCTCAGTGCTGGGGATGCACATGAGACCATGGCAGGGGCAACTCTGCCTCCTGGTTGTGCTCCTGGCAGCAGCGTCACCTGTGGGCAGTCAAGAGGAGCAGGGGGCACAGGGAAGGTAGAAGGAGGCCTACAAACTGCGGATGTTGCTTGTTGTAGATGCTGCTGCAGAGAGCTTCAGAAGCTTCCTGATACTTCTTTTTGAACCACATGGGCATTTAACAGCTGACATATATCAAGGGGGAAAAAACCACAAAACCATGAGCACAAATATGGTCTTTCAAGCTGCCTTTTTCCATGGAGAACGCCAATGTAGTAATTCCTTGAAAGAATTATTCACTATAATTTGAGAATAACAGGCCCATATCCAAATGTTTGAAGACTCCCTAATTTCTCCATCTTATTTTAAAGAGAAAGAAATGAAATTAGGGGAAATGGGCATGTGAGTGAAAGGTAGGAAAAAGAGAAATAAATACTGTATATTAATTCCCAAATGTGAAATAAGAATTCTTCTGGACTCTCCTGTGGACTTTGGCAACGTTTTTTGACTTGGATA